AGGGGGTCTTGGAGATGTCTCATCCATAGGGCTGCCATGAGTCAAGATAGACTTGAGGGCAGTTAACAACAAAATGCTCAGCATCAGACCTGCCTTTGCATTTTCATCTTTGACCTTCATTATTAACTTTTCCAATTCCTGAATGTCTTCTGCTAATATTATGGGGTTGTCTGCATACCTTAGGTTGTTAATGTTGCTTCCTCCTATCTTAACTTCTCCTTTTTCTGATTCTAATTCTGCTTTTCTTATTATATTTTCAGCATAAGTAGGGTGATAGGATACAACCTTGCCTGACCCCTTTCCCTATTGAGAACTACCCTGTTTCCCCAAATTGTGTTCTGACAGTGGCCTCTTGTCCTTGGTGCAGATTCCTCATCAGGACTATCAGATGTAGTGGCACCCCCATGTCTTTGAGTGCATCCCATAGCTTTTATGATCTATGCAGTGCTCCCATGCCATATGCAGGCTTCCTGTATGCAGATTTGAGCTTATGCATATGCCAAGTCCAGAAGGACAAAATGGTGTGCGCATCACATGTGTGTGCATGGCGCCACTTGTGGGAGCGTGCTGCCATAGAAACCAATGGGATTTGAGCGTACGCGTTTTTCCCCAAATGCAGGGATGTCCAAAATGGATCTCCCACATGTAGAAAGGGCCCACTGTATAATCAAATGGTTTGCTGTAGTCTATGAAAAACATGCTGATTTTTTTGGGGGGGGGGGAATTCTATTTGTTGCGCTCCATTAGCCATCGTATGTTTGCAATGTGGTCGCTAGTGCCCCTTCCTTTTCTGAATCCTGCTTGCACCTCTGGGATTTCTCTCTTCATGTATGGTTGGAGTCCATACATGCTGCAGAATTGTGAGCATCATTTTGCTTACATGTGAGATTAGTGCTATTGTTCTATAGTTGCTGTAGTCTTCTGTATCTCCTTTCTTGTGGATTGGTATGTATATCGAGCATTTCCAGTCTGTTGGCTACTGCTTTTTTTCGATATTTGTTGGCATATTTCAGTTAGTATTAAGTTGCATCTGTCTGTGGGCATTGTAGCAGTTCAACTGGAATATCACCTGTTCCCGGTGATTTATTTTTCCCATTTCCTTCATTGGAGATTCCACTTCACTTCTTAGAATTTGGGATTCATCTTCATATGGCTCTTCATTCCAAATGTCATTCTTTCCCTCATCTCTTTTGCATAACTTTTCTGTATATTGCCCCCAGTGTCTTCCTGTATTATGTTCTTTTTTCTCCACAGAGCATCCCTGCCCTTGGTTTGAATTCAGCTGTAATTTCCCAGATTTTTTATTGAGGTCTCTTGTTCTTCTCTTTTTGTTGTTGTCTTCTGTTTCTCTGCATTGGTCATTGTAGTATTTCTCATTATCCCTGTGTGTCAGACGTTGCACAGTTGTGCTCATCCTTCTGGTTTTGTTCCTATCTCCCTGCTTTTGTTTTGCTTCTTTCTTTTATTGCATGAAGCGTTTCCTCTGTCATCCGCTGTTTCTTACCTTTCTTTCAGTTCTTTCAGTACTATGGCTACACCCTATGGAATTCTGGGATTGGTAGTATGGTGGGGTCCTAGAGAGTTCCTGGTGGATAATACCAAATACTCTTCCCTAAACTACAAGTCCAAGAATTCTATATAGGTTTGCCGGATCTCAGTGCCTGGGCCTGAGTTTCATGTTTTCATGGGCCATCTCCAGGTGGGAAACAAAGATGCAAATTGTCCAGTTCTGTTGAGCTCAGCTTCAGGCAAGAGGAGAGGACTGCTTGCAACTCTCCAGCTCAGCTAGCAGAGCAGCAGCCTGCTACAATTTGCAAGGCTTTGCTAATGTGTTGTTTCAACTTGCAAAGGCCCTCCAAAAGTCTATGTATTTACTTAATCAGCTTCCCCTTCTATCTGTCATTGTGGCACCAGGACTCATCCTCCATTCTTCTCTGCATCCAGTTTTTTTTTT